TTTTTTTTTTATTACAAAATATTCCACGTTTTAAAGTCTTGCTCTTAAAAAAAAGAGGCAACAACAAAAGCTAAGAGAGGGTTGTAACTCATTCAGCAAGTCCCTGTGCTGGTCTGTACTCTGCCCACAGTCCAAAGACATGATTTACTCATAAATATCTACATTTCATAGATATTAATGTGAATGTAAATGACAGTTTGTCCTTATTTGTCAGCCCTGTGATCAATCCTCAGGCCTCTTATGCATTAACAGTTGGGCTAAGCTCAGTGACACTCAGGTGCTGGAACTTGTACAAGCGGTAAAGAAAATGAATCGAAGGATGTAACCTGTGTTACATTATCATGCACCCTTGACTTGAATCAGGCTGCAGGTTAAATACTGTGGGGAGTGTGTGTTGACACTCAGAACAGGTGTAATACAGTCATTCACAATAAAGTTCGAGCTGGTCAAGCAAATAATGGGATGAGAAAAATGGCAAAATGAGATGGTCAATGAAACTACGGGAGAATTTTGACATTTAGAGGGTTGGCAGATATATTGGAGACATACAAGAGAGTTAAGCAGAAAAAGTTCCTCATCTAGAAATCGATTTCTAGATGAAGCTCGAACAGATATGTCCCAAGTAAAACACCAATCAATTTCAATGCAAACCTCACAGATGTCTTTCAGGTGCTTGATGTAGTCTCTCTCTGTGCTCATAATCTCATTGATGACATTTGTTCTCATCTGCTCTTTGCAGGGTAAACCAGGTCCCAGCAACAGGCCCAGACTTGCCCGGTCCTCTTCTCCAGCCTGAGCCTCCTCTAGGTGGGCCAGATACTCGTCCATGGGTTCGTCCTGGTTCACACGCAACTGGAGAATGCAGGCAGTGTTAAAAGTATGCAATGACTCTAAGTGGCTCAAATAATAACCCTGTCTTTCAATGTCATCTTTTTCTTCACAGATGCCAAAGTTTAGTAGCAGTTTGATGTCTTTTGATATATATCCCGTATATCCTTACCTGGATGATTGAACATGCACCAGAGTACAGTCAGAACAGAGTTTCTCACCCGTACAAAGCTGGCAGGGAACCAGCCCTCACTGTCCATGATGCGACCCCACCACCACTCCTTGTTAGTTGCATCCACTACTTCAATGACATCACCGGCCTTGAAACCTAACTCCTGGTCATCCATGGTAACATGGTCCCAGAGCCCCTCTGCATACACCACACTGCCATCACTGATGAGCTGCAGAGAAACAACAACAGGAGGGACTGTGGTCACATACAATCAACTTCTGGTTGGGACTGCAGTAGAGTCATGGTATACGGTCATGGAAGATGGCGGCGCGCACAGACGCAGCGGCCCGGAGCTCCTACACTTTTGCACTTTTGGTGGTACTGTGTATTATTTCACACAGTCTGGGGTTACTTCAATACAACAGAGATGATCTACTACAACTAAGCCGTGGAGATCTTCAACTAACATCCGAGTATCTCATCCCCCCGGAGATCG